AACATAGGCTGTTGTCAAAAATAAATACTTCATATAATATTTTTATCTTTATTGAAATAAGTAAATCTAAATTATAATACAAAATATAAACTTCACTTCTTTACAACATAGCTAATGGTAATTACATTGATTTGGTAATTACAAATTCCTAAACCGAGTAGATTTACGACAGTAAAACTTCAGGTGCAAAGAATTAGAAACGCAATTTTAAAAAACCACCTAATCTTTCTTCAGAGATGCGTTTCCGTTAAAATAATTCTAACATCATTGAAAGTAAGATCACCAATTAAATCAAAAAAAAACAGAAAATCTTACTAAAGTATATCGAAAAATAGTTATTGATACACGTCCGAAACGAAGCAAATTATAGATTTTTTTTTAAGCAAAATTGATATAAAAAACATTTATTATAATTTAAAAATTTTATTAACGCATTAAAGTTTTGATAATCTTACTGAAAAGTCGTAAATACATCATTAGGAAAAAATAAAAACATATTAAAGACAAACTTCAAAAATAATTTTTTTTTTTTTTTCAATTTTGTTTAGATACCCTAAGAAGTCTTTACGGTCTTATCGCAGAGCACCGCGGATGAGTATTTAATTGTTCACGCCTCTCTCTTATAACCGATGTTGCAAAATTTAGCAAGAGGTGGGGTTTTGGGATAACCTAATATATACATATAAATATGTAAATATATATATATATATCTATATATATATATATTATATATATATATATATATATATATATTATATATATATATATATATATATATATATATTATATATATATATATATATATATATATATATATATATATATATATATATATATATATATATATATATATATATATTATATATATATATATATATATATATATCATATATATATATATATATATATTATATATATATATATATATATATATATATATATATATATATATATATATATATATATATATATATATATATATATATATATCTTTGCAGGGCGTTGAGAAAACAATCTGGCTATAGCAGCACGTCGTCTGATAGTTCAGTTAGATACAGGGAGCTCTAATTGCTTTTGTATCTCGACTGATGATTCCTAATATATATATATATATATATATATATATATATATATTTATATATATATATATATATATATATATATATATATATATATATATATATATATATTTATATATATATATATATATATATATATATATATATATATATATATATATATATATATATATATATATATATATATATATATATATATATATATATATATATATATATATATATATATATATATATATATATATATATATATAGATATATATATATATAGGAATATATATATATATAGGAATATATATATATATAGGAATATATATATATATAGGAATATATATATATATATATATATATATATATATATAAACTGTATTAGGATATGGGTGGTAACTGATTAACTAGTATTATATTAACAATCTTTTCTTATATTTTTCTTGTATGTATTATTAAAACATTAATAAATTGGGTACCTATTTTTTTTTTGGACTAACATGTATTTTTAAATTATCATATACCATTATTCCAACTTATTTGATCTTATTTGACTTTAAAATTTCTTATTTGACTTTAAAATATCGACTTCTTATTCAACTAATTTCAACTTCGATTCTTTGAATCTTTAATTAACTTCGACTTCTTATTCAACTTCGACTTCTAATTTAACTTATTCGACTTTAACATATATAGACAATATTATTTGACTTTTAAATATTGACTTTTAAATATATATTTATATATTTGAAAGCGGCAATCTCGATTACGTTTTTAAAAAACGTAAAAAAATTTAAACCAATAATTTTTTTCTGATAAAAAAACAACTAATCAAATTGTTACTCTTGACAAAAAAATCATTTGCGTAGTTTAGTTTTTAAAAAATTTAAAAAAATGAATACTTATAACAAATCCTTTTTACAAATTATTAAGATCACTAAAACAAAACAAAAATAAAACTACAATGTTAATTT